TGTTTTAAGTGTTTAAATAATTTGAAATTTCGAACATTTCGAAAGTGTAATGTTAATATCATATACAATAAAATATAATAAAATATAATAAAAAATAATAAATTCTTATAAGATTTTTAAAAAGTGCATCCTTTTTTGTTAAAAAAAAATGTGAAATAATATTGTATATTCTTAAATTAATTTTTATTTAACTTACATTAAACTAATTGTATGATATGTTAAATATTATACAACTATATCTATACTTTATTTGTATGTGCAGTTGCATTTAAATGTCTTATTTTTAATGTCGTTATTACGATTTCTAAAATTTTTAGCAGTATTGTAATATTGCTAAGAGTTTTAGACTTCCTCGAGAATATATACGTCATATTATAATATTCCAGTCTCACGTCAAATTATAAACTTGCGAATGACGAAATCACGCATACAGATACAAACGCGCTCTTACGCGCCTTGACGTGTCTGGAGGCTCGCCTGTGTGGCCTGTGATATGCTTATCGACGAGATTGCATAAGAGCTGTATCATTGGCATGATGTGTGCATTGATATCAATTTCATAAAAAAAGAGTCCAAATTCTAATGATAGTGTTCTTTTATTGTAATTTTATATTTTTATATTTTTTCCCTTATTTTTCCTTAATTTTTTATATCTTTTTCCTCTAATCCTCTATGAGGATTTTCATTTCCTTTTCTTTCCTGTCTTTGTTTCGATTTTTCTTGTTTTTGCTTTCGATTGCTTTTGATGTAAAATCTTTTTGACCTCTTTCTCGTTTGATCGTTTCTCTTCCTTTTTTCCTCTTTCTCTGATGATGAAGACCAAGTGCGATAATTTATTATATACAGTGAGGGATTATATTTTAATGTATCATTTAATTTAAAAAAAGAAATAATGTGTGATTATTTGATAAACAAAAATGTATACATGTTATTGATTTTTCTTATTTGCTAAATAATCCTACGTTACTTCTCATTTGACATTAATGACTACCGAGAAAAATATATGGCATTGTAATTTGTTCACATATTGCATGTATAATGCAATGTATTTGATCGAAAAGTGTTTGAAATATGTAGTATAAACGTTAACTATAACGCTTACTAGTTGCTTAATGTATTTGCGATGAAAGAACCCCCTGCGACGAGTTGAGCAATTGTTTGTGAAACATTATCGTGGTCTTTAACCTCGGCACTTTACAATTAAAAGAGGAAATCTTTAGAGCTGAGTGTTTCAGAATCGAGCATTACGAAATGTCCATATCAAATGTAAGAGACTAAGAGAAAAATCGCCACGTCTATACATTACATTTCGCAAGTTGAGAAAGCGGGCATGATCAACTTGTTTTTCTTTTGCATAATCTTTGGAATATTATAGCTGCATTATATTATATATACATAATTTAGTTGTGTACTGGATGTCGGGAATGATAGGCTTAATGTTTCTTATATAAATGTAATGAGCAGTTTCTAAGCTAATGAAGAGGAAACGACAGTTTCATCTTTTTCATTCACATTAATAATTTTATGTTTGTATATGTATATGTATTTATAAATTGTAAGTAAAGGAATTGTTGATCAAAATTGATAGAAAAAAAATTGTAGATAAAAAACTATAACGGATTTTAATATAATATATTAATAATAATAATAAAATATTGATTAATGCAATCCAATATAGTAAAATAAGAAAACATCTGATAAATTTGTTAACTTTCTGTTCTTTTATTCATGTTATTATCGCATATTGTTGTCGTGCTACTAAGAAAATAGTTCAACATGACGCGGAACATAATATGTCTTTTACATATGCAATGATAAAATGTAAATAGAAATAATTGGAATGCTGCAATTTGTTTTTGAGAGAATATTAAATTTTTATAAAGCACTATTTAACTCGATAATACTATTAAATATAGTACTATTCAACTTGATAACATTATGAAAAAATGGAGACATTAAGATATATAAATTAAGCTATTATAAAGCGACTTGTACAAAAAGATATATATACAAATTGTCCTCCAATATTCAAACGCTCTTTATCAAGCTTTTCTGTCCAATGAAGTAACATTACCTCGATACAAATAATAAAAATGTACAGCATTTTTTCCAATTAATTCTTTGCGCTCCATATATTTTTACGCAATATTGACAGTATATTACTTTGCGTGCTATAATATCAATTTATGTGCAGATTTATAATGTATTATACATAATGTGCCTTATATTTATTTAAATGTATTAAGAATATACAATATTATACTTTAGTATAATTTTATTGCCAATCGAGTTGGCATGTGGTGTAAAACAGCAAGATTTTTAAAGCCAATCATATAACTTAAAGCCAATCATATAACAAAAGGTTAATTAAATCAGAATGTCATTAAAATCTTTATAAAACGTACTTCTATTTTTTTTTTAAAACTTGCAGGATTTTTTTAGAGAGAAAGATAAAGGAAAACTTTCTTTCTTCAATAGTTTAATTATTTGTTGAGTTTAAGCATTTTAATATTTACAAAATATAAAATGATCGATTTCAAGGCAAATGTAAAATAAGAATCTAATAAGAATTAGAAAATTAGAATACTATATTTATTTAATATTATAATGTGTGTGGCATAGGAACGAAAGATTCATATAAAATAGAATAAAAAATAAAAAATGTTGAATATAATTTTGTTTCAACTGTTAATATGTTTTCTGAGAAAACAAGTTAAATATAAAATTGTAATATTTGAACACAGATATATTTGAGTATATATTAATTCTCCATTGCTTATTGATCATATACGACCTTTATCACAATATCACTGTACGTATTAGCATGCCGATATCTTATTAGTATTTCGTGGTTTCTCGAAACGTTATAATCATAATTTGGCATATTCTTAGTATTAACGATCTATAGTGATGTATTAATAATTTAACTAATTATTGTACAGGATTACATTTTTATTGGTAAAACTCTAATTTCTATGGTAAGTTATTAAAAATATCTCTTTTATGACCTGCAAAAATGTACAAAATACAAACGATTTTATTTTCGATCAAAGATATTTTTATCAACTATCGAAATTGTTGATGCATTTTAAAATATGAATTTTATATTTTTATTCTCCCAATGTTATATTCAACCGACATAAAAATTATTTTAGCAATAATAGTATATATTTTATCATTTTAAAATCAATAAGCTAGGTTAAAATTTTTTATTACGTACTTATAGTACCAAAGCAGCTATAAAATAAATGTGAAATTTTATATTATATACATAATTATTCATTAGTTATTTAACTGAAATCTGATTATAAAAAATAATAAACAGGACAATTTGTTAATAAACATATGCCGAATTATTATCAGTGGTATCATCAGTAATAATTGACCTTGCTTGAGAGAAAACATATCATATCTTTATAAATCATTCTCTGAGTCTAAATTTCTAAGTTCGAAGTATTAAGAAATTAATAAAGTCAATTTTTAATTAATAGCTTTAACTTAAAAAAATGAGCATTAAAATAAAGTAACAGTTCCTTAGCACACATACATTTATGTTACTTTCACACCAAAAACAATTTTCTAAATTATTAAAAATTTATATACTTTTACTTTGTCCAATTTATATACTTTTTCATTTTCATTAAAATTTTTATAAATTAACAATAACTATTTCAAAGAATAGTAAAAAGTATATATAATAAAAAACTATATCAAATATTTTTCAAATATAAATGGAATACACATTAAAATGATAAAAATTATAGAGAAAAATTCTTATAATACGTTCTCTTATCAAAAGGCATTATATGAAAAAGGTATATAAATTCAGTTTTTCTAACAAAAAGTCATTACTTTGCAGAAATATTTAAAATAAAAACAATTATGGACTTTATAAAGGCGTTATGTTTAGTAACTCTTACCATAATAATTTATGATTTCAAAAATGAAATGTATGACTTGAAAAATAAGAAAAACGAATTCCATTCTGCAGAATTCGTGACAATTCTTGAACAAATTGATCGTTTACCAACATATATAGTACCCACGAATTATAATATCAAGTTGATACCATACTTCGAGAACTATACTTCTTATACGTTAGAAGGCGAAACCAATATCAGGATCCGTATTTATAAAAAAACGCAATATATATATTTGCATCAATATTTTTTGGTTATATTTGACACGCCCACATTGATTAATGAGGATAACGGTAACAGTTATAAATTATTATGGGAACAACATATAATGTATAATTCTACAACGCATATATTAACATTTTATCTCACGGAGGATCTCTCGCCTGGATTCTATATTCTG